CACGATGACGGCGACGGCGGCGGCGAGGATGAGGCCGGTGACGAGGCAGCCGAGCCTGCTCACGCATGAAGCACGCGTGAGTGCGGTTGAGAGGCAAGGGCGAGCCTCTCTGGCCACGGCCGAGCCAGGGAGAGCCGAGCAGCCGCTGCTCGACCTGCGCGAGCCAGCTGCGCATGGCGGGCCGCGGGCGCGACAGCCGCCGCACGCCGGCGCGGGCGATCGGAGCCATCGACCAGACGGCCGCCAGCGCCAGCAGCACGCGCACGCCGAGGCCCACGACGGCGGAGCGCAGCGCGAGCGGTGCCTCGATGGAGGCAGAGAGGGCATTGGCGAGCGTGTGTGCGTGGTGCAGCTGCTGCGCCGCCACGGCCGAGAGCACGTCGCCCACAGCCAGCTGCCGGTTCGCCTCATGCCCGCCGTCCATCAGCCGCTTGATGGGCTGCACCCACTTGGGCTCGCCCACTTGGATGCTGCTCGCGACGTGATACGGCTCGCCGAGGACGTCGACGACCTTGCGCAGGATGATGGCGACGGCCACGCCGAGGATGAAGCTCCAGCGATCCATACACAAATCCGCCTCGGTCCAACATAACTTTTTTTGCGTGAGGTGTGAACATTTGCCTTCAATTTGCCAGCCTCACGAGAGTAACTTTATTTCAAGGGTTGCCCGGCCGGGTTGCTGCGCAAAAGCTTTTGTGTGCGCGGGTTGGTGGCCTGGCCCTCTGTCGTCGTTGGACGTTGCTACCCATACCCTGCACCGTGCCGCGTGCGCGTGCCGTGCCCCGCCCCGTCCGCGGCTCCGCGCCCCTTCCCGCCCGCACGCGGGTGGGTGCAGCGGGTGGGCATCGCACGTCTGTCGGTGTCCTCATTAAATGTTATATGTTATGTTACTACTACGATGGTACTACTTACTACTACCTGAGTGACGTCTTTCGTGGCTGTGTGGGCAGTGCGGTGCGCGGCAGGCAGCCCGACGGGGTGCGCGCGGTGCGACCGAGCATGCGTGATGCGAGCAACCAACGCGTCACCGTTGGCGCTGGGCCTGCTTGACGTGCTGCGTGCAGAACATTTTCCCGTCCGCGGTGCACCGGCTGCACGGCTTACCCTCCGCCGTTGTCGCGGTGCACATGCGCCGCACGCTCTTCACCTTCACCTGGTCCGGGTTGTACACGACCCGCTCGGGCCGCGAGAGGCCGGCGCCAGGCAGGGCTAGCACCGAGTCGAAGCCCTGCCCCGCGATGATTTCCTCGTTGAGATACGGCCGGGCGCGGTGCACCACCCTCTCATTACCGACGGCGACGCTGGCCTTAACCATGTACCTGGTCTCATTCGGGTCGACGATGGCCTTGCCAATCGTCTGCTTCTGCGTCTCTGCGAAGTAAATGCCGGCCCCGTACATGCCTCTGCTGCCGGGGCGCATTTCCCCGGACGCTTTGATGCCGCTACCGCCCGCAGCGGTGGTCTGATGGTAGAGCGTCATCGTCTTCATGCCTTCCAGCAGGTCGTCGTCGCTGTCATTGTCGCACACGTATTCATGCCGTCGCTGAGCAGGAGGTGTGCGCACCGGCTTCTTGCCGACTGCCTTCGCATGCTTCTTGTCGCCTGCGTTCTCATGCGCGGGGCAGCAGTAGCCGGTTTTGCTCTTGGTCATGCGCTGGCAGCGATCGCCGTCTGCCGTGAAGCCGGCACATTGCGTTGACATTGAGGACGACAGGACTGACGTGCGTAACAGTTTGTTACAGATTTCCAAGCGTCCGGGACAAAATGCGCTCGCATTTCCGTTAGCTTTGATGAGCATCCCGCACAGGGGGGGGGGGGGGGGATGGCCCGCCATTCGAACCCGCGAGCGGGCGTACGTCACTCACATCCAGGGCCGGGGAGCTCACCCAGCGGGCCGGGTGATAAAAATGAACTCGGGGGCACGGGACGCGGCACAAACGGGGCACAAACGCCAGGCTACAAAGACGGGGAGGCACGTAGTGACGCAGGGGAGTCTAGGCGACGGCGGCGTCCTCCGACGCCGCGGCGAGCCTGAGCTCGGTCGCAATCTCTTCCGCCGCCGCGAGCTGCAGCGCGACTGACATGCGCTGGGCCTGCAGCGACAGCCACGACCGCGTCGACCAGCTCGCCTCGTCCTCGTGCTGCCGCTTCGAGAGCTTGTTGCGCACCTTGTCCTTCATCTGGTAGAACAGCCGCTTGACCGCGTTGCACCACCCGCCGAAGGTTTCGAACAGGTACATCTGTACGTCGGTGTCCGAGCGCGAGAGGGCGTGCTCGTAGTCCGCCTTCTTGTACGCCAATAGCCGCCGCCGTCGCTCGGCCTGAAGTCGCCGTCCCCGACAGCGCCGCGCTGCTCGAGGCCGAAGACGTCTGCGCTCGTGCCGGGCTCGATGTTGCCGAGGCCGACGAAAGCGCCTCGCTGGCCGACGTCCTCCGAAATCTATGGAGGAGAGCGGGTCCTTGAACTTGACGTCGCCGACGAGGCGTGAGCGCGAGCGGCCGGCGCCCGCCACCGAGACGCCCCTCGGGCCGGTAGTCGTTAGAGTAGCCGAGGTAGTCCCGCGGCTCCACCTCGACGAGCATGCCCCACACACACGCTCCGCATGACCTTGGCCAGGGCGGCGAGGAGGCTGTTATGGCGGCCGTGAAAAATGCACACACACACACACACACACACACACACACACACACACACACACACACACACACACACACACACACACACACACACACACACACACACACACACACACACACACACACTCACACACACACACACACGCACTCTCTCACACACACACACACACACACTGTGCCTGCAGCGACAGACAGCCACGACGAGGAAGGTGGGGGCCGCTGGCTGGCGATTGGGCGTGGAAAGTGAGTGCGCGCAGACTTTCGCTGACGAGGATACGCGGCGTTCTAAGCGACACACCAATTCCCCGTGATTGAGCCTGCGGTCGACAGTTTCTCCAAAAGAAAGAAAGAACGCACCACCGGCTCGACAGTTCCTCAGTTTCTCCTATAAATAAATAGAGCAGTCAAACCCTGGTGGGATTAGGGCAGCAACCCGACGGGCAGACCCCGCCCCGCTCGGAGGGCGTGCACCACGCAGCAGTTTCTCCTCTGCGAGGGAGTTTTGCGGTAAAATTCTTCTCTGCCGCGCGAGAGCGTTGTGTGTGCATATACGTGTACTCTAAGTTTCTCCGAGACCTCGGGAGCGGGCAGGTATTCACACCTCGGCAGTGTGGGCAGGGCAGGGCAGGGCAGTGTGGGTTTCACACCCGGGGCAGGTAGGGGATCGGGCAGGGCAGTTGTGCGGCAGTATGCGGGCAGGGCAGTACGGCAGGGCAGGGCAGGGCAGGGCAGGGCAGTTGGGGTCATAATTGCAGGGCTGAGATTCGGGATCTCAGGTGGTGAAAAAAAAGGGGAGACAATTGCTGTGAACATGGAATTTGGATACCAATCTCAGTGAGATGTGTGAAGAGGACGGCCGACCGACGAAACACACGCGCGAGCTCGCGAGCTCATCTGCATCTCAATCAAATCTCAGGGGGGCGCCGTGTGTATAAGGGTCGCGTGACACTGCGCTACGACTACTCCTCGTCCGTCTCCTCGTCGTCCGTCACCACGGTCCAGCGTGCGCCGACGACGCGGCCGACAGGAATGGTGCCGAGAGGAAAGGCCGCCCGCTCTTGATAGGGGGGTTGAGAAATTCGAACCCAAAATGGGCCGCCACACCCTCCACGTGGATGCCGAGGCGAAGGTCAGCCACTATGTCTGTGACTACACTGGCATCCCAATGAAGGGGCCCGGCTGCTTCATGCCCTTCTGGAAGACGCCCACCTCTCGCATGACCAAGCGCGGCAACTACTGCTGCTGGGAGGCGGTGCTGCAGCACGCCCGCGCCACCGCCGACCGAGACATCCTGCCCAAGGTCGAGTCCTATGTGGCCGAGG